ACATGTCTGCAACAAATAAAATCGTAAGCCCGAGGTCTGGTTTTCCTTTGGTGACGTTCAAATTAAAAAAAAAAAAATTGTAAAAAAAAACAAAAAAATCCGACCGACCGACCCAATTTTCAGATTCCATGTAATGCAAAACGAAAAATTAACCTAATCAAAAATTTTGCTATATATTTTAAAAAATATGGATGCTTGTTCTTCCAAGCTATCCAGTGCTTTGTTCAAAAATAAATATATAAACATTTTTTACGGTTATTAAAAAAAATTATATATATATATATATAATAAGAAGTAAATTCTATTTTAATCCGGATTAAAGTCACCCAAATTATTTAATCATGTGACCACTAATATAGGTTAGACATCCACTGCGCCTACTTTTTTGATACATCTAATTATGCCCTAAAATTTTACTAATGTTTACTATAATAGCATGCAATATTATTGGATATGTTTAGACGTATCAAAAAAAGAGAGCATAGGAGTATCAAAATGAAAGTTTTGCCCTCGCGATGTCATCATCACGTGAGTATTAGCCTTTGCCAAAACCGCTTATTTCTCCAAAAAGTTTGCATAAAAACTACCTTTCGTGCGTAACGAAAAGTTTTCCTTAAACGAATCTAGGACGAATTTAAAGAACTTCATTATTGGTCATGTAGTGATGACATTTTTGTGGGTACCGCAGGAGAAGTCTAGGATGACTTTAGAGACAGATGAAAATGAATTATTTAATAAAATTTATATACGCACTCTCATATCATATGCAAAAGCCACTCTTCCTAATATTTGAATGATAAGACATTGCATTAATGAAAACACATCTATCGGAATATCCGTCCATTTATTTAACGAAGTTATAAGGTCATAAGTGCATTCTCCAATCGTTTTAGGGCACGATATTCGACGAAATGCTAACGATGCCAATTTTCGTTGTCGTTCCCAGAGCTTTAAAGTGAAGATAGTGATCAAAAGAATGAAAATTTTAACAAGATTACAAAAAGTTCAATGAAAAAGATTAATACATCTCCATTCGTGAAAAACACCCCTTTTCCAAAGAAAATCCTCAATGAATGCTTGTCGGTAATTGGCTCTTTGGAAGGGTGTATACTTAGCCAAAATAATAATAAAATAAATAAATAAACTTTTTAAGAAATGAGCAGACAACCCGGTACTTAAAAAGGAATATATACCGCTTCCATGGAAAACTACTTTAGCAAGTTCAAAGTCGGTTATAATAATCTCCCATCTAAAGGCAAAAAAAAGCTAAATACCAAAAAAAGATTAATATTTTGCAAAAAGTGATAGTGTTTGATGACAAATAAATAACCTACTTTAACTAAACCAAATTTATCAGGATCCAATTCAAAAATATGGTTTTGAATTTCATCTTGTCTTTAAGGCCGCTTGCAGTTGATTCTTCGGTTAACATCACTTTCTCGAAGATTTTTTGAATTTAGGCCGTTCGAAGTTAATTTTTCGGTTAACATCACCCCTCCCCCCTCAGCTGAAGCCTCCCCCACCTCCCCTTCGAA